GTATGGTAACAAATTTGTGTTTCTTCTTCAATCTGATCGGCTCTTTGTTTTTTTAAGTTTAAATAGTAGACTTTGGAGCTTCTTATTGGAAATTTTGAAAATGAAATTATCTTTCTAACTATTGAGGCACTTTGTGGCTTTCTATTTTAGTGGTGGTATATCTTTTGGGGCATATTCATTGCAGAACAAATATAAAGCACATGGAAGTTGCTGCATCTTGCATTAAGGTATGTTTTTTGGTTTGTCTGGCAATGGTTGGTGATAATAGGTGCTTTTCAAGCTTTTGGCCGTTTTCTCTCTTGCTTTCCTGCCTTTTCATGTCTGGTTATACAAGCTAGCACAATTAAAGACAGTGTGCTTTGATAACTAAATTCTGGCAGTAGGAACTTGGTTCCATGTGGAGAATGCCTGGTATTGATATGCTTCTAATTGATGCTGCCATTTTGTGTTATGTTCCTTTTGCCCATTCATTTTCTTCTACATGTATTTTACTAGAATCTACTAGACCCTCTTTTGCGAGGCTTGTTACTCTTCCTAATGCCTTTGAGATTTTGTCACAGGAATTTTAGTATCCTTTATAAACTGGTTTTTGGTCATGGTTGTTGTAATTACACCCCTTTGTAAAGTTAAATACCATTGGAGAACACTTAGGAACTTCAAAATTTTTTATAACCTATTGGTTTAAGATGACTGCAGCTTACTACATACCACTACCAGATCTGTGTCCTTAAGGTTACATTTTTTTTTTGTTTTAAGTGTGAGCTGCTTTGAAAGTTCTGAATTTTATCTATGCTTGTTTATGATTGTTAAATATTGCAGCTTTAGAGTTTTTTCTGCCAGTTCAGTTTATTTCCTTTTAAAATGTAATGTAGATTCAGTTGTTTGAATGATGGATCTTATATTAAAGTTGTCATACCTTTGAGCACCTTGGCCTTGAGTAAAATAAGTGGGGTTTCCCCTCCATTCTTTGTGTCTGTCAGCCTCACTGAGCATGACAGGCATGTGGGGGATTAAACATTTTGCCTCAAAGAGTTGAATCGGAAAAGTTGAAGCTAAGTCAAACACAATAGTTTAGGAAAGTGTTTTTTGACTTCTTTAACAATGTTTTTCATTTTTTTTTTTCTTTTTGACACAATGGGCTGCCAACTGGAATGTTCAACAATGGAGGCTAAACAGCACATGAATTATCCCCTTAAGCTTTATTTGGAGGGCTCCGAATTTTGCAAAAGCTATTCAAGGAACCACTGTTCATAGCGGAGAAGGTAAAGTGAGGTGCACAAAAAATGGTTCAGGCACTTTTTCTGTTGGTAGATGTAATGAGCTCATGGGAAGAAAAAAAAAAAGCTGCTCTTTCATGGCGTAGACGTATTTGGTTTAGTAGCATCATACGTAATGATTCTTTTGTGGTTTGGCTTACGTTTCTCAATAGATTAAAGACTAACAATGCGCTACTAAAAAAAATTTGTGTGTGGAGATACCTTCTGTTCTATGTGATGCTCAAGATGGAACTAGGAGCCATCTGTTTTTCAGTTGCTCTTTTTCTATACAAGCATGGCTCCTGCCTCCTGCCTCCTGGTACCTACCTAAGATTGGATTTAGTCAAATGCCTTCTGCCTTGGAGAATGGGTATTGAAAGTTAAAGGAAAAGGTACAGAAAAGGGAAACAAATGAATAGGCAGAACTGTTGAATATGATTGGATGTAGTCATATGCCTTCTAACAGTTGCACTATATGAGGAAGGGATGACAATAAGCAGCACCGTTGAATATGATTGATTGAACTGCCTGTATAAAATGGTATTTGTTTTTTCCTGTTTTAATTTATTTAGCAGTCGTATTACTTCTTGGTTACTTTATTTCGTGTATGATTTTAATTTATCTGTCCTTTCTCAAGCAATTGCAAAATCAGTTTTTACCTACCTTAGAGGGGTTGCTCCTGTTGCTGCCAAAACAAATCTCACCTTCAAAGTAAGATGACTCTTTGCTTTGCTGCGCCCCTCCAGCATAGAGGAATTCTTTTGGATACCTAAATCAAAAGTATAGCTGCCCAAATACAGTTACTAAACACAGTCACATACTCAAAAAATTGGTCTTCACATGTTCCCTCCCCGCAGCGGCAAACAACACACATGCACTCTACACCATCATACCTCTAAGATGCAGAAAAGTAGTTTTCAACCTGTTTCTAAGCATTAACCAATAGGCTTACATAGCATACATTGCCACACGTCTAAAGCAAAGAACCCAAATAAATAAAAGGGAATTTCCCATGTCCCATTTCAAACCATGCAAAGTTCCACAAAAGATACTAAACTGGAATTTATAAGGAGAAGGGCTAAAATAGAAATTGGATAATTTCATTGAAGTATAATCATCTTCACTAACATATCAATTCACCACTAGTTAGACTTGACAAACAGGTTGGATTGGGTGAGTTCGGATTGGGTTATCTTAGATCTTGGATTTTTTGAATTGAGTCATTTCAAGTATCGAATTAAAGGATCAGATCCATTACTCACTCACATGAGTTTCGGATTGAGTTGGATGGACTCAACTTCTAAAAGATTAAAATTAAAAATAAAAATTTTCTATATTTTTCTTTATTTTTCTTTAACAAAATCTAATATTGATTAATTATTTAGTGAGAAAATTTTATTAAACATTAATTTTTATTTTATGATTTAATTTTCATTCCAATCTCAATAAATTCTAAAGCGGTCCTAAAAAGTTCCACATTTGCCGCAAAAAGTGTGAATTAAAAGTTTAGCACTATTTTCTTGAAATGATACAAAACGTCTCTTCTTACTGTGGTGAAATGATGCAACAAAGAAAGCACTTAAACACGTTTTTGTTATTTCAAATTGTTCTCTTCCCCTTACAGGACTCAAATATAACTAGAAAAATTTGACTTAGATAAGGTAAGGCACAGCTGTGGCGTTTATGATATGTATGAAAGAGAGTAGATTGATGGAGCAGGCATAACCATACTAGAGTGGTCTCCAATGCCAAAAAAGTCAAAGGAAGTTTTTCCCTATTCCCACAGTAAAAAGAATAATTGCACTCTTGTCTCTCATTTTTCAGAATGCTACGTTTTCCACCTTCACATTAAAGATCTAAGAAACAAGATCAATTTATATTTTTTCCAGAAATCATGCTCCAAGCCGCCGTACCTTGTCAAAAAGTTGGGATGCATACTCTTATCACCCCTGCTTTTGAACTTGACTAGTTGAACTGCCTTTTTAGCTTAAATCAGATAAACAAAGAACTAGAATGAATAAAACAAAGAATTTAAGTAATTTTTCGAGCAACAGATTTCGCATTTCAGCGGAAAAATAATTTTAAGCTGTAAATATAAGATGGTTATTTGATGGTAATATACACATTACAAGGGAAATCAAATTTCATAATTAAATTCAAAAAGAAATAGAAAAGCATTGCCTGGATAAAGTCATTAAGATACAAGTTGTGTACTTTTGGAAATTATGACTGCGAAGATGTTACCTTTGTATATCAAAGATAGCTTAGAATTACCAATGTGATTGTTTTATGTTTGCATCTGGAAATATAAGGAAGTCGCAGATTTCCATACATTTTAAAATACTGGGCCAAAAAAAAAACCGGAAGGAATATCTGCAGTGAGTGCAGCTGAAGAGAAGTAACCAGTGAGGACTTTGGATTTGGAGCAATGACAGCATAGAGTTTTAATTTTTCTTTTTAACCTGAAACTGAAGAGATGCATGGCAGCATCAGAGAAACAGGCTGGGAGATCAAAGGGTCATAAAAGAGGATTGTGCATTACCAGGAGTAATTTGTTGCTATGACTATGGCACCTCTTGTTGTCTCCACAATACATTAATGTCGAAACTTATATCCTCAAATAAGACCATAGTTAAATAAAGAAGTAATCAACACAGCTGTCTTATGCTCTATACACTTGGCTCCAAGGATTTCGATAACTAGAAGGTCCTCCATGTGGAGAAATTTCTCAGATGAGAAGGACAAAATAAGAGAGGGGATAGTAAACAATATTGGACTGTTCATTTCTTACCTACTGCTAGAAACGTCACCTCCTACTTAGAAGGTAGCATAAACACCAGACCATCCACCTTCATATCCTTAAATTGTCTTCAATAAGTTAAGAAAAGTTGGTGGAAAAAAACCTAAATCAGATCCTTTTCCAAGCAAAAATAAGGGAAACATTTTAAAGTAAGAGACTTTCAGAAAGTGATGCAGAATACATATGTCTTCTGATTAGGTGCAGCATCTAAGAATTTCAACAGTGTTCTTGCACACTTGGAATGGAACCTCTTCAGTTTCAAAAGCCAGTCCCTGCACAAATTTTCACAAGCACCAGAGCCCAGAGGCATTGATAGGCAATGCCATGGGTAGTGGACTTTGGTTGTCTTGACTTTGAAGTCCTCGAATTGCAAAACCACATTCTCCGACCACATTTGTCTCCGTTTTTATATCAGTTGCCGACCGTATGATTACCTACAATTCATTACATAATTGGTGGCTTAGAAATCCTAACGGTGGCTTTGAAATCCTAAACCATAGTGCAACAAATTGAAGCCAATCATACGGTCAACAATTAACATCAGAAACAGGAGAAAAATAGTGACAGGTGGATGAAAAATATGCCATCTTAAATGACTGATCCACAAAGCCCATTTGCTATTTATAGGCAAAAGATGAGTCATGAAATCATTAATATTTATGTTCTTCACACCCTTTGAATTCTTTTTTATTTATACATTGCAATTAAGCATCACAATCTGTCTCTCCCATACCAAGACGTTTGCATAGGTTTAAGTGTTCAACACAAGTTTTGAGTTGTTTCTTCTGCTTTCTTCACACCAATGCCATGCTTCTTCTGCCATTTATTTGCTGGTATACGTTATATGTTCGTTTGTTTTGTTGAAATTAATAAATTCAATAAAAAGAACTGTAGCTTTGTTTTCTCCCAGCTTAATTTTCTTTGCGTTAGAATGGCCTTGGAATTAGTCAACATAATTTCTATTAGAATTTGAAATAATCGTTGCCCTCACAAATTTCATATTCATCATGAACAAAACCTAAGTAATCCAAGGTTTCAATGAGTCATTTATATCGAAGTTGCATCCTGAAACAAGTCATTGTCTTTCTCATCTACCATTAATTCTAGATACAAGAGCATAATTCAAGTCAGTGATAGGAAGTACTGAGAATAAAAGACTTTGCTTGCAAACTCAAGACAACTGTGGCCTTTGAACTTGATGTCCTTCCCAAATGCTCACAGATAAAAATCTCCAGCAGAGCAGACATGAGTTTCTCAAGATCCACACTGGTTTTTACTCCAAAGTCCATTAAGCATGTAAACAACATCCTCAGTGGCCACATTTCCTGATGAAACTCAGGATTAAATGGATAACCTCCAAGACCTGAAACCTATGAGTCCATGGTGTTGATCCCCCCCATCTGTAAAAACATGGAAAGCATTTTTACTCGTAATGCATACTTGAACTCATAGTAGTAGCCAAAAACACATGTATCTGACAATCATCTCCACAAGAAAATGAACATGTTGAGAAGCAATTATAAGAGATTAAAAATGAGAAAGATTGCATACTTGGAGACATGCTAAAATATTTGAAAGGGCTTGCCCATAAGTGTCATGGAAATGGACAGCAAGCTTATCAATTGGAACAACATCAAGAACAGCTTCAAACATTTGAATGACAGTTCCTTCAAAATGGCACAAAAGAAGAATATCAAATCTAAGTTAACCCCAAAAGCAAAAACAATAAATTCGAGATTATGACTCATTGAAACCAACATATAATCAATTAGCCTATATCAGATAATGGATTTCGAAGAAGCTTCATGTTATTTGTGTGCATGAAAATCACTATCACGTTTCAAAATAAACCAACAGAACCACCATCACCACCACCAC